GGGGGGGGGGGGGTACAGAAAGGGCAAGCGTCCCCAAAATTTCCAAATGGAAGGGACCCTCTATTACCCATTATAATTCAATAAAAATGTATCAATGACTTTTATTGTGTCAATAAAACGTTTTATAATTGCAGGTTTTATCAATATATCTAAACTGAAGTCATCTGTACATATGTATATATATAGATAAATATATATATATGAATATTTATATATATGTGTGAATAAATAAATTTAAAGTCATTCATTCAAGTCATAAGTGAGTAAACTTGAACTATCTTTAAACTATTTAAGACATTGAAGTTTAAAACTTTACATTTTCATTTAAATTAATGATTGGTTTTACATAGATGGTTAATAATGTACAACGTACATCAGGTTTGCAGAATATTGTGTTACTATTTATTTTGTGTTTATTAAAGTTAACACAAAATAAATATAACTTAAGGGTTGAAGTTCTTTTAGTTCTACAATATATAGGTGTCGAAATTTAAACAATAGGACGACTTGTATTTAAACCATATCACTATACTTGATACTTTATGGATTAGGGTAGGATTACATAAAAAGTTAGACCTTCAGTTCTGAGAGGGTGTCCTAAAAAAACTAAAATCCGAAAAAAGGAATTGAGTTTTTGCAACAAACTTATATTTTCTAACCCCAATATCTTTGCAACCTGATGGTGTAAACCTTTGATATTTCAAACTTAGACTATTTGATCTACCAGAATTAATAGTTTGAAATATCAAAGGTCTAGGAAAACAGGTTTCTAAGTTATAGGAATAGGAAAATCTGAGTTTGTGGCAAAAACTCAATTCCTTTATTATTTGTAATTGTTCTAAGGATGAAGGAGAAAAAAATCATAATTGGACTGAAAAGAAACTGAGTTTTTGTCAAACACTAGAATTTTCTAATCCCTTTATATTTTGCAACCTGGTATTTGATCTAGCAAAATTCATAATTTAAAATATCAAAGGTCTACGACATCGGGTTGCAAATGATAGGGACTGAAAAATTAGACTTTGTGACATGTTTATTGGGACACCCTGTATGATATATTTATATAAATCTATTTGAGTAGTTTTGATTTAGATTTGGTTGGGTTTGGTTTAATTTACAATGGGAGAAAGAACATTGGTGGTCAATGTGAGGTTACTTTTAATATTAGAATTAAAGAACAGTTGGGGTTCTATAATTATCTTAATGTATTAGGCTTCTGGATAGATATAGGTTTCAGTCTTTCAGGATATTTAATTACCCAGCATCATGTTCAGAAGTTTTTAAATTCAGATAAAAAAAATTGACGATTTTATCAAAAACCATGTGTTCTAATTTTTATATGATTTATATTATTTATTAGACTTTTCAAGTTTTGCACATTTAAATGCATTTTTTTAATAAACCAAACCTCCATTGATTTCTTAAAACTTGGTGATGATGGTGATATTTAAACATTTTTTTGAAAATATATATTTCTTTCTGGGTTGACACTCTTTTATAGTTCTAACGATAATCATACGGTTTTATATTAAATTAATAACATTTTCATCAAACGATGGATTGAGATATCATTTGGTTTCTACCTAAAATTTGAAATGACATGTTTTTCAAAAATAATCTATATTTATAAAAACAAATTTGTGTTTTTATAACCAGGTTATTTTCTTCTAAATCTTAAAGATAAAGAATTGAATACACTTAATCCCGATCACTTAATCCGTATAACTTAATCCGTATCACTTAATCTGAATATCTAATGTGGATACTTTAATGTCCTGCATAATCCGCTCTTTTTCTCTCTATTGTGACAGTTTTCTCATTAAATGGCGCTCAACATGTTTAATTTCCTTTATTCTGATTGGGTGATCGTTATTCTGTATACGCCACTTTATTGGTTGAATTTTATACACTTTTCGGGCGAACTGAAGATTAAATTAATCTTGAGATTAATGAAAAGATGAGCTCAGGCAGGGTTCTGCAGTGTTCAGCTTTGTTACAAAATTTAACTTAACAATCCTTTCATCTCACAGTTAAACTAAGGACTTGAAACAAAATAGAAAATTCTATTTTGAAAATGTTGAGAAGAAAATGAAAGGAGTTGGGCGGGCCGGGGGTGGGAAACTGAAGCACCGCCCATTTATCCCTGGAACGGTTTAAACCCCGTGAAATAAACCTACTTTATATAGATTACATACATTAAAAGGGGCTGACCTGGCTTTTTATACAAACATCGGAGACAAGAACTAATTATAACAATATTAAACAAATACAGTTTTTTTTTCATATTTGGTTTAAAATCAGATTTCAAATTTGATCCGACAGTATTCATAATTTAAGATATCTAAGGTCTACAACTTCGGTTAGAAAAGAAATAGAAAATCAGAGTTAATGGCAGAAACTCAATTCCTTTCATTTATGGAAACACTGTATGAAAGGTTAATATTTTGCAAATCCATAAATTAAAGAGAAAAATATCTTTTTCGCAATTCTCAATTGTTTAATGGATGGCCAGTGAATGAAATTAAAAACATGATAAATGTTTTATTTCTTACAAATTATTATCTTTAAACGAATATTGTATCTTCCATCTTTAGTTTGAGGTTCGTATCGTCTTTGCCTCTGTATTCTCCAGATATGGACCTAAACATTTATCCCAGCTGAATTCTTTGTACAAAAATAAAATTCTTGAATACTTTAAACTATTTAAAACTTAACATGATGCCCTTATTTTTAATACACCGATAATATAATCTTACAGTTAAAAACTTTCACTTGATCGTGTTAGATTGTTCGAAAAACAATAAAAGTGTTTTGAACCAGAAAAGCTGGTATCTAGCTAGAAGAAAAATATATACAGATAAACTTAAAATTTTGTAATCCTTTTATCTTGGCAACCTGATCGATGCTGTCAACCTTTGATATCCTAAAATTTGAAATATTTTGGAGTTTAAACGCTTTGCATGAGTTAGATAAGCACAGATGTATATTTTATAACTTTTAGTTAACACCAAAGAGTATGGATTATAAGAGAGATGGAATCGACCCGGCCCGCCCTACCATACATGCTTTGCAGACAGAGTACTCCATTTAAAAAAGATTTTTCCAAAAGTCGTCGTTAAATTTGTTAAATGTTGATTTTTTATTTTACAATATTAAATAAAACCAACTTTTTATATCTTAAAAAAATACGCTTGTATCGCTAATATTTTTGCATCCCAAAAAATGTATTTGTTTGCGTTTTTGAGTTAAAAAAGTTTTAAAAAATAATATTTTACCAAGATTTTCCTCCACTGGTGAATAGAGCTGTGAAAGTAGCAGAAATGATAAGTCTCTGACAGATAATTGACACCTAAAGCCGCTATTAGTGTTATTTAAAAAAATATTTAAGTCAAATCACAAATTGTATGAGAAGAATGAACTAGAAGGAGAAGAAAGAGATGGGGGCGCGATGTAATCTTCGATCTTAAAACAAAACAAAACTTATATTTGGATGTTTTGTCAAAACTTAGTCAATCCCATTTTGATGTTAAGCCAAAAACAAGCCCCTTGTACCATTTCAGATCCCACAAAATAGTTGAGCCTGATTGTTTCAGCCGTTTCAACGTTCATATTGGATACCTTGAGTCTAGTCTGTGGAGGAAGAGTTGGTGGAAGACGGATATTTTCAGTTCTAGATCTTGTTCTTTCAGCTAGACCATTCATATCAAAGGTAAACCTGCCACCTAACTCTTGTCTAAATAAAGAAATGAGTTTTTGCAACAACCTCTAATTTTTAAATGATTTTATCTTTGCAACCCGCTGTTGTAGACCTTTAATATTTCAAACCGTCGCTCAAATGGAACCACCAAAAACCGGTTCCAATTGATCGCCGGTTCACATCTCAAAACACTGAATACAATTTCAAGTGGAACCAACCATGTTTTAGCTGCATCTCAAATTTGAGACACAGCTCAAATTCTTTAAATTCGGCCTTGGCTTCCTTTATTCAAAATTACCTTGATTGACTTTTGAATACTAATGACTAGTTGTCTATTGACTATTGAGTAAATTGGCTATTAGCTACTAATAACTAGTATGAAATCTTAGAACCAGTCAAGGTAAGTTAATCATATTCCAAATTAACAAACGTTTAAAAGATTTTAATTTAACCCCCTCATGATCGTTCTCTCTTCAGTAAAATTATTGAAATTGGACCCACAAAGATCAATAGTTAGCTGGCACTTTTAATATGCCTGCACACAAATGAGTTATAAACTCCTAAACTCCTAAATTCAAAAGTTTTAATTAAAGGAAAGCTGTGTTAATTATATCTATACACAACTCAAAACTAATTAGAATTTATTATTAAAACAAATATATTTTAAAGTATTGTTGGTTTAGGTGCAAATACAGGGCTGCGTACCAAGAATAAGACTGTAAAGACGACCTGAAAGTCTGAAACTCATAAAATATGACGATTATAAGGTTAAATTCTGCCTTCTGCCTTTAGTATTGTCTTTTAATGACGTATTTATTGACATGGCAGCAGTTTAAAGTTGCAGAGAATCCTAAATATGAGAAAATAGACATTATAAATTCTGTACAGTCGTTTCTGAAGTCTTATTCTTTGTGGGTAACCCTGGTTTATACCTGAAGTCTAATTTACTGTCTATTTTCCCGCTCTCATCTGTGTAACTAAAGTTTACTTTAGGAACATTGTCGAGAGAGAACACTTGATACTTGGGTGCAAGAGAACCATCGCTAAGTTGAAACCTGGAAACACAAGAGTTAATGGGGCTGCTAATGTAGTTTAAAGTGAACCTTGATTCAAAAAGTAACCATTAATGATTCACAACAGTATTCTTGAAACCTTTATCTGTTCAATAAAGGGAAAGATGTTTTTAAAGTTAAAAAGGGTTTAATTCTATCAATTTCTTTATGACTACCTGTAGAGAAATAACAATTGAAAATAATAAATGTTCATACTTTTACGGGTACAGTTGTGAATCCAGCGCTGCTCTGTTTGCACGGAGGGTCACTTGGAATTACCCTAACAGTCCATTTCAAAAATGTCATGAAAGTGTTTTACTTTACCTATGTTCCACCTGGGCATTAACAACCTCAATTTTGTTCCAAATTGGATTAGTAAACTCCTCAGTAGTGTTCTCGTCCTCTAGAGTTTTCAGAGTGAACCATTCGCTTGATATATTCACATTTTCCCAATCTACACTGACCACAACCTGATGATGGTTATAATTACCACCATGGATTTGCCGAAGGGATCCAATAGGGGTTTCCCAAGATTTTAGAAAGTCTTCCCCATCAACATTAGGATCATTGCTGATAACTTCATCTAAATAAAGTAAGATATGGCACAGATCAAATTAAGTTGATGAAACTACTACCGTCAAAGTGATACATGCAGGTTCCAGTGAAGTTGTTATCACTGTAGATTATCCAGGCTCCGGATAAGATTTCAGAGCTGCTAGGGAATGGGTTTAGATTAAAGCTTGAGAAGCAGTCAGATTCCTCATAGATGTTAGCATATTTTCCATCTAAACAATTTCTATTTTACAAATACTAAGTTCTGTGGATTCAAAGTTTAATTGAACTTACTTAGTAAATCATTTGCTGTCACGTAATCATTTCCGATAATAGTTTTGTCAGCAGTTACACCAATCAGAGATCTTCCATGAGATTCGATCTTAGAATGAATCATTAATAATTTAATTTATTTTGATTAATGCGGTTTGTTTTAATTATAATAGTTTCTAAGTAATCTAAATAGGATATGTTGCCAACAAAGAAAATGAGTCTTTTCATCAAATCATGATTTTTTTAATCCCGGCCTAAATCTTTGCAAGCTGATGTGGTATGAATTCTTTGAACTCAAATAATCAAAGTTTAAAAATCAAAGATTTCACCATTAGATTGCCAGCTCAAATTTGCGGGTTGTTGGGGTTGTGGCAATGACTAATTCCTTTTAATAAAAAATTTGAAGATTGGAAACTCTTCTATACCTGGGTCCACTGCTGGCTATGTTGGTTCTCTAGATTGATTTTAAACCAATTGCTCCCAAATGGCATGCTTGAATTAATCCCTGCTCTAAGAAAACAGATCTAAAGTTTATAAAAAATAAAATGTAATTATCTCATACTAACCTGTACCAAATAGCTCCAGATGCTGATACTGCCCACACAATATCATCCCCGCTAGATATCCAAATCATTTGTCCATCAACCTTAAAGAAATCAAATTGATTCCATGTTTCTATTTGCAGGGTCAGTAATCAATAAAAGATAAACGTGCATTTGAGAGAGGAGTGGAGCAGTACATATTTATTATTCTAGAGGGTAAACTTGAGCTATTGAAATATTTTTTCCCTTAAGGACATTACTGTGAAGTGACAGTAACACTACTGCTGACACTACTGGAGACACTACTGCTAACACCAGTGGTGACCCTACTGGGGACACTACTGCTGACACTACTGGCGACACTACTGGAGACACTAAAGGTGACAATATTGCGACTCTACTAATGACATTTCTGATGACTCTACCTACATGCAATACCTTAGTCCACGCAGAGCTCTCAGAGTCTTGACTTAATCCATATGTACCGTCTCTGTACAACACCTAAATCACAGTTCTGGATTTTATCATTACACTAAACGTTTTGGCTTGACAAATTTAGTGCTTGGAAAAAACAAATTTTAATAAGGCAGTTGACAAGATGGTAAAGTTTACAGCCTGTTTGAGACATTGTTAGCCATGCATGCATTCTTTTTATTTAAAACATTAACACTTTATCCCTTGCTAGCCAATTAAAAGAACTGTGAGCGTACTTTCTAGTGACCTTTCCTTTAAAGAGTGGCATCACTGATTCACAACCTTTGTCTGATAATCGAGGGTATATATTTCAGTGAATTTATTTTTAAAGTGTTGTGTAAAAAGCTGGAAATCGGGAGTGTATGCTAGTGTACTGCGTAAACGGCATTATTCACATTCATTCCCAGAGCATCTAGAATATTCTATGTCCAATGCTGTTTTTAAAAATTTGAATGTGAATTTTTACGTTCTGGGTCTTCTAAAAGCAAATATTAATATTTCTTAAATATGAAACAACTTTCAAATCAACAATCTTATCCGTTTTTGAAGATAGATAAGAAACATGTATAGGCCCTGTAATGATAATTTCTAACCTGATGCTCTGGCGTGATGCCCCAAACTCCAGCTTTGCCAACACTGATATGGATCAGCTGTCCAGATATCTCCTGCCACTTGGTCCCGATCGGATTGGATGATTTGGCACCAGCCCGGTACAGGATCTTGTTTTTACTGTTGATGGCCCAGCTGGAACCTCCAGGTCCAACCGAGCACATCTTTAATTCTCTAAACACCAGTAAAAAGTCATTTTTTATCAAAGATACTCTCCAAATGTTCATAAAGTTATCAACATTACGACCATAACTAAAATATATGTAGAAAGGACATTTGTAAAATCTCATTTGGAAGTGGCTAAAAAACCCTAAGACATTCCAATATTCATGCTTCAGGTCTTACCCGCCATCATTGCCAAGCGGCACCCAGTCAGATCCTAATGGATTGCTTTCAGAGAGCTGTGTTCTCACAAGGATTTGATTCTCTGTGCTCACGCCCCAGATCACATTGTCCCCAACAGAAATCTAATTATGACATCAAATTTTGATAGTTGTTACAAATACAAATACATTTGGTTTCAGTATTAAACCTGCTTTATGCTTCCAGGAACTAGGATCCAGTCCCTCCCTTCAAATCCTTTCTCATACCCAGTCCCTTTACGGAAATGTACCTTAAAAACGGAATAAGTTTTCATTTTATTTTTTTTAAAGTTAATCTTTGAGACCTGATTTTTAGTGTCGATGGCCCACAGCCCAGCTCCCCCAATGGCTATGCTGATTATCTCTGGGCTTTGGATGCTCCACCACTGACTATTATCTAAATATATAAAAACAACAATCATTACAGAATGGGGAAAAAAATGTCAAGTCAGAAACAATAAATAAGTAATATATTACTATGTTGCAAATAAAGTGAGGATTCTGACAAGTTCTAATTAACCATAACAAACACATACAAATATAATATCTCTTATCTACGGAGAACTCAAAGGCTTTTAAAAATAAAAACTAAATCTGGGGTTTAATATTTTTTTCTTGTTCTTAGGCACTTTGCGCGGTGTCTGAGAAGGCCCAAGATAAACTTGAATAATGCAAACAATCTTTATTAAATTGTATTCATGGCCAGTCTTACTTAAAGTAAACACATTACATGCATATTACATAATATAAATATGACAAACTGTTTGAACAAAAACGTTAGATGTTCAGAACACAAAATTATAACAATGGTCATTCAATCAACATAATATTTCCAAGAGCCCTGAAAATAGTAAACTTAAAGGGACTATCTGCGTAATTTCAAATTAACCTCCACATAATATTTTACATTCTGGATTCACAATGGTACTCAGATAATGGTTTAAAGGGTTTCAAATTAAGTCCCTCATGTATCACTTTAAACGAAGGGTCACTTGAAATTACGTCTGCAGTTCCTTTAACAAATGCAAATTACTGTCACTGTTGGCAGTTACCTTTGAATGATGATGGGTTGAAAAGTATGGCATGTGGTACTGTCTTCTTAATATCCTTGCACTTCATAGATACTATACTACCCTGCAGATTGTTCAGATTTGGATACCTAGGATACAAAAGTATGGCATGTGGTACTGTCTTCTTAATATCCTTGCACTTCATAGATACTATACTACCTTGCAGATTACTTAGACCTGAATACTTATGTATACCAAATACTGATACAGGGTTCCCTACAAAGGATAAAACTGTAAAGACGACTTTACGGTGTTTATACATATATCCATGGTTCACATGAACTGTAGACTTGTTTCTTTATTAAGCAAATCATCAAATTAGCCTTTAAACGACTATGTGCAAGACAAAAGACTCAATTTAATCTCATAATCATTATATTTATGAGTTTCAGGTCGTCTTTCCAGTCTCATCCTTTGATGAAACATCAGTTTTTTTATTAAGTAACCTTTAATTTATAAAGTTGCATGTCTAATTCACAACTGTGAATTAGACAGACACACAGCCCAGTTGTGAACCTAACTTGCCACTTTACTAATGGAGGGTCACTTAAAAATATAAAATATGCCATTTTTACATTTCTTTTAGTATTAGTTTGTGGTTTATAGATAAACTTATCATTGTGAACTTCATTATTTTTTAACAAAAGATTAAAACCGTAGATTAATAACAATACAGATAGTAAAATAGATGTCGTCTTTTCAAGATTTTGGGGGTTTTTTCTTTCACAATAACCCTGAGGCAGAAACCCAAAGGAGTTACGCGCAGCATGCTCTCTCTCTCTTGTAATTCAACGCAGCAAATGCAAAACTTCTTTTGGGCTCTGCTTCTGCTTCAGGGTTATTGTGAACGAANATCCATTTTATTATAATCCTTCCTCTTTGATCCAGTTTATCATAATCCTTCCTCTTTGATTCAGTTTATTATAATCTTTCCTCTTTGATCCAGTTTATCATAATCCTTCCTCTTTGATCCAGTTTATCATAATCCTTCCTCTTTGATCCAGTTTATCATAATCCTTCCTCTTTGATCCAGTTTATTATAATCCTCTTTGATTAGGTTTATTTTAATCTTTGCTCTTTAACTCAAACTTTAATCCGGTTTAATCCTTTGGTCCAATTAATACTTACAATCCTTCCTCTAGACAGGCCAGGAATCCCTTGTATCTATCCTGGCTGTAAACAATCCAGGGATTTCCAGAAACAGCAGCAGACTTAATAGAAATATTTGAAAAAGTATAAATCTTTTACCCCTGCCACCCCCCCCAAAAAAAAAAACATTTTTTGGGACACCTACTGTCATATTTCTTGGGACACCATGTATTTCCTTGAATCTCAGGGTTAGATGTCATTTCCCCTTTATAATGAATAATTATTATCCATTTTAATATTTTGATAAAAAATTACCTTTATATCAAATTTAACACCAATGTGAGCCAATCTTAGATCGATCATACTCTCCCCTATAAGCACAATAGAATTAACTTAAAAATACTTTTTTTAATTCTTTAAAATTTTTTACCTAAATCCTTTTCTTGACCTTTAAAATCTTTCTCAGCATAAACTTTGATTCCCATTTTTCTAAGAAAAAAAGTTTTAAAACTAATTTTGTTTAAACAAAGATATTTGTTTGACCCTATCAACCCTTTGTATTTTTTTTCAACATCATAGTTTTGAACAAATTTAAAAAAAAATAAGAAATGGTTAATAACTTTTTATTAACTAAGCAGGCCTTGAAAAGCTGGACCAGTGACATGTATCTCAACTCTAAGGGCAAAATCATGGGGGGGGGTGGAAACGGTGGGCGGATTTTTTACAATGTCAATTTTGTAATGACAATTTGATAATGACAATTTGGTAATGACAATTTGGTAAGGTGACAATTTGGTAACGACAATTTGGTAACGACAATTTGGTAATGACAATTTGTTAAGTACACAAAAGTGACAATTTGGTTATGACAATTTGTAAAATGAAAATTTTGACAAAAATTGCAATTATTTATAAATATTTAATTACATTATGTTGGGTTTGGTAAAACAGCCCAATAAGGATGAGGTTAACCCCCTCAGAGCTATTGAGATATGAGATAGACCAAAATGTTTTTGTGTAACCATAAATTTTCTTTTTTGATACTTGTTTATAAAATAAAACCAGGAGAGCTACGAGGTCACAAAGTCACAAATAAGGCATACATTTTCTTTCACTTTTCACTTTCTTTCATTTCCGGCAAACTATAAATGTGATTTGCTTTGAAGTGAAGCTCCATCTGGTTTTGTTATCAGTCCCTTTAGTTTCTAAATATTTGTTGTTTTAACAAGGTATAAAAAAAACAATTAGCAACCCAAGGGAAAATGTTTATCTTATTATCCAATTTTTGTGTCAGCCGCGTACACCCTTATTGGTCTTTATTAACAATGAGGGAAGCTGCAATATTATATCTTCACAAAAAAAAAATCCACAAAAAGTAAAAAAAATTGTTTTTTAAGAAATTTAATTGTTTTGCTTTCTACAATAAATATTGTATATTTTATTTAAAGTCTTCCTATGCTCCTGGCTAATGACGAAGTATTTTCTTGTTGATTACTAATTGCAACAAATGCAAAATATGTTTAAAAAGGCTGCACCGAATAATTGGTGGACTGGTTCAAGCAAAGATAAAGCAACCACAGTTTATACCATTCTTAAGTTTAGTGGGGGTATTATCAACTTATAATTTATTATTTTATTATATACTAATATAATGCAGAGAAAGGAACATATATACTATTATTGGCTTATACTTGAGACTGCATCGTATTGTGCTTTAAAAATGCAGAACAGTGCAAAATATGCAAGGTTGCAACAAGGCCTATGCGGGAATCGTAAAATAATATGATTGCAAAAAATATGTTTACATTTTACACCTCAGGCTAGAAAAATAATTAAATAATAGAATGAAGGCATAATGAAAAGTATACGATTAAGGTTCTTTATAACTCTAAACTACGTGTTTCAATTCTAGTAATATATTTAGGTTTACAAATATATACCAGACTATAAAGCTTTTTAATTGTGGCTTTTTCTGTGAGCATCTTCTCTTTGTACAGTATAAAACAAAAACATAACAAAAAGTTTGCGGATTTCAAAATATTTTTTAAACACAAACTTTTAAAACTTTGATCATTCATAAACCTTCCCTGGAGTCACGTGAGGTCCCACACAAAATTTGGGGCCGATCGGTTCAGCCGTTTTGACGTTTATTGGATACAAACAAACGAGCACCCAGACAGGCAAGCTAAATCTATAAGCTAAATCTATATATACGAGATGAAACTATATAAACGAGAATAAAACTTTTTCTTGAGTAAAAGCCTGCCCTAGAATACAAGCAAGGTGTCTGAAAACATTTGCAACTGATTGATTAAAATACAAGCAATGGTAGCCTGAAAACCAGGCCATCGTCCAGCTTCAAAAAATGCATATGACTGCCGGGACAAGCTTTTCTATAAATGTCAACTCAATAAATCAAGGTTCTTAACATTAAATTAAACATTAAACATATTTAAGCATTCCCGTGGTTCTATGAGTGGTTCTATTCTATGAGTTTCCTAATCAAAAGAGGCAAATTGGTCAAATGAGTTATGATCGGACTTCGAAGAATGCTGATAGAAAATTTGTGGAGGGAAATTGTACAAAGCCTAAAAAATGAGACATAAAATTCAGCATATACATTTAAAGAATAGGGGGGCTTTTGTAGAGGCAATTCTCATCAAAAACAAACAAACAGACAAACAGAGATCACTACTAATACAGTAGTCGGCGATTATTTCAATACAATAAAAACAATTTTTTTAACAACTAACTCTTTGATCCCTAACAAGCTAAAACATAATATGGCTTCTCACAACGCAAAACATAAAAATAAAGATGCTAAAAACTAAATCAGGCCCATTAATGCCTGAAATACAAGCTATTATACGGCCTGAAATACAAGCTATTACTGCCTGAAATACAAGCTATGACTGCCTGAAAACAAGCTATTACTGCCAGAAATACAAGCTATGACTGTCTGAAAACAAGCTATTACTGCCTGAAATACAAGCTATGACTGCCTGAAAACTAGGCCCAACAAGAAATGTATTCTCATGCGAACAAGGAATGCAATGTCAAAACTTGACCTGAGAAGCTCCTATGTGTCTAGGATATACATGTATACTGGGATGCTAGAAAACTGTCAACTTTACACTAGAAGATGCTATGTGTCTAGGATACACATGTATACTGGGATGCTAGAAAACTGTCAACTTTACACTAGAAGATGCTATGTGTCTAGGATACACATGTATACTGGGATGCTAGAAAACTGTCAACTTTGCACTAGAAGATGCTATGTGTCTAGGATACTCATGTATACTGGGATGCTAGAAACTGTCAACTTTACACTAGAAGATGCTATGTGTCTAGGATACACATGTATACTGGGATGCTAGAAAACTGTCAACTTTACACTAGAAGATGCTATGTGTCTAGGATACTCATGTATACTAAACTGTCAACTTTACACTAGAAGATGCTATGTGTCTAGGATACACATGTATACTGGGATGCTAGAAAACTGTCAACTTTACACTAGGATACACTAATAGACTATAATTGCTCGAAAATTGTCAATTTGACTCTAGAAAATTTTCTGTGTCAAGTTACACCTGAATGCTAGTAATTGTCAGACACTTAGGTTTGTATTAGTTTAGTCTGCAAGAAGTCTGTATACGCTACCTTTAATCTGAAAAGTCTCTGACAGAAATATTTCTAATTTAAAGCCATACCTACTCCTCCTCCTGTCTGAACAGAAATATTTGTTCAAAATCTTCGTCCTAATTCATTTACAGATTTTTCCTAAAATAATACAATTTTATTAACATTATCATTAATTAAGTATTTTTATTCTGCATGTTTACAATCTAACATAATTAAAATAATATTTTAAATTGAAAATTGAAAAGATGTGTTTTGAAATATTTAAAAGAGTAATCATAAAAAGTGAAACAAATCCTTTTTAAGATGAAAGGGGATACAACAGTGGTGGCGCAAAAATATTTTTGAAATAAAAAAATCCTTGAATGATATAAATATTTCTGACCAATATGCGTATTATTACGGAGAATATGTGGTAGAAATATGCGTAAAATGTATATTTCGAATGTCTACAAGGGATTAGAATGCCTAGATGAAGGAATGAAGGAACAAGATCCTGAGAATAAATTTACTGCCCGTTTTAAAAAAAGTTTTTTAAAATTAAAATTAAAAAATAAATGTTTGAAAAAATATAAATATTTTTCTTGGTTTGCTAAACAAGGAAAACTAAAAGTAGTTCTGACCGACAATAATCTGTGGTGCACATATATTACTGCAATAAAGAATAAAGAATATGTACACTAATTAGTTACAGTGCTTCGGCCTGTAATTTTAAAGGCCCTCAAGGAAATTCAGACTGTTCAAAAATCCGCCAAAAACGAAGGTTAAAAAATACAAAATTTTGGAATACAGAACTATAGCTTATTATAAAGAACTCTTGAGAACAGAATTTTTACAAATTCTTTTAAATCAAACTTTTTTTTTGACTCCCTGGAGTTCTCAGCGAAAATCTGAAACTGCTAATTTTGTTTAAGAATTAGCCTGAGTTTGCATTTATGGTCATATTACATTCCATGAAATTTATGCAGTATTATATGCATAGCATTGCTTAAAGTACAATGCAGTTCCCAACTTGCTTGTATTCTATGCAGTGTAAACAAAACATTATTTTGACAACATAATACAAACATAAACCGCACATAAAAATCTTTCTTATATTCATGTGCAAATAACTTTGAAAACTGTATTCTTAGATTTGCGCTCAAATGTCAAATTTGTTTACTATAAATCACCGGAACGTCTATCTAAAAACTTTTATTTTTGAGTTAAGGCCATACTTTAAAATAAATTTTTAAAAAAACATTTTTTCTTTAAATTTTTAGACTTCACAAAACCCTTGAATTATTTTGTTACAAAATCAAAACAAGAGTTGAGAAAGTTCTGCACACTACAAATGAATAAATGACAAAAAAGTTGCTAGAATCTTGATTCTCAAATACATTTTTAAACTGTCAAAACAATATATATAAAACGCAGGAAAGCCGAACAATATTCAGTAAACAATGTAAAGAAAAAGAAAAGATTCCTGCAACGTTTGCACATTTTTGTCTTATCATGAAGCTATGATACCCACCGCTGTCCCAGTTGATTATGGCGGTGTGTGGCAAAAAGGATAAAATATGAGGGATTTAACAATAAAAAGTATTTGTGGGACTCCTTGAAGAATTATATAAAAGATGTTTAAAGGAGAGAAATATTGATTTCTCATGACAGCTTCTAATGTCCTTTTGTATCATCGTCGGTTATCTTTTTTTTAAACCATAAGGCGTCGTTCACCCCCCCCCCCACCCCCCCTTGGATGAAATGCTTTGCGCCCCTCTTTTCTAATTCTGCAAGCCTTTGTATGGTATTAATCTTTGCGTATGCTTTTCTTCTCAGAACATTTTCAAAAAAATTGCGC